AATATGCCATTTGGTGATCATAAATGATCATTGGATATATGCACATCAAACTATTAGACATTTTATACAAATTTTAATAATAAGTATAAATTACATGTAATATTTCATTTTGTATTATTATATATGTATTTCGTATAAGGGGTTTATTTTTGTATTATGGGTTCCGTATCAATGTTTATCCGTTAAGCGACTTTTTTAGATGATTCGATTCTAAACCAGCTAAGCAGCGCGATTGTGTTGAAAAAAAGTTTAAAATTAAAAAAAAAAAATTAGGTACGGAAATTTCCATGAATTTGCCTCAATGCACGATACCAAGCACCACCACTTTAGTTTTTTTTTCTAAAACATAACCTAATACATCGAGTCTATAAATAAAAATAAAAGGGTTATAATTTTGTTTTCAAAAATAATTTTAAAATTGTTGCTCCAAAGCGCCATCCCTGTGAGCGAGATAAGGGTGCCCGCGGCGAGTCTCGCATCAGCACAGAATCCGGCTAGGTTCGGCGCGGCGCTTCGCTTCTATCCCATGCTGACTTGGGGATATTGTTGGCTGGGAAATCAGACGAAAAGCGAGATAAACTAACCGCATAATAAATGAAGTGTTCACACTTGACGGTAGACTTTGTAAATCTGTATGAATTGCTTGACGAGTAGTCATATCAGCGTATAAATCATATTTAGGTACAGCGCGGGAAAAATGAGAGAGAGTTGGGAAACTGGATGTTCTCTCAACAGGCATATTTGGGAATTAAGATGTGCTAGTAGGTACTATTGAATACATACATTATATATAGCTATATTAGATAGTTGTGTATTGGATTTGTATATATTGTGTTGAGATTTGAACAAGGAATTAAAATGTGATAAAACATTTGATTTTTAACCCTCCGTCGGTCGGATATTTTTTCACCTTTGAACAGTCGGAGTGGTTTGGCTGGACTGGACAACCATTCATTTTACGTGCATTTATATGGGATAATTGAGTTTTTGGCTTCTTATATATTAACGATTATTAGTAGTAAATATTTATAGTTTCGGATTTTTTATTTTTTTACCGTCTTTTGCATGTGTTGAGCTTGCTTATAATAAAAAAATTATATATTATATTATATTATATTATATAAAAAATCAAAGAATATAAAAAAATCGTTGCTTTTTTATTATTATTTTTTCTGTTTTATATCGATGAAAAACAATATTTATTCTTTTTCGGCTCCATCGAAATGAATGTGAAATTCAAATGAAAACGAAATGAGGTGCGTCGCCTTTGAAATAAGCTGTAAAAGTCAAGTTGAAAATATTATTTCATCACAGGTTTTTATTTACATTTTTCATTACAAAAAAAATTTCGAACGCAGTACTGGTAGAAAAATTGTTGATAATTTGCGCATTACTCATCCGATTTTCAATGTTTGCGATGACCAATAAGTTCATCAATAAGTAGGTTATCAAGCAACTCTCGTCGTGAAAATACTAACATTCATGTTACAACACATAGCAAAGAATATATAAAATGCAGTTTGAATAGAAAATACCAAAAAAGACATAATACTAATTTACATATATCAAAAAGCGTATATGTCATACAAAATGTATGGGTGGTCTAGACAGACCTTATCCTTATAACTATCCTTCTGTACATTTTTTCGTCCTGATTTTTTCATTGATCGACAGCTAATGAAATTTTAGGAAAAGTCAAAAAATTTCAAGTCGATAGGATTACTAGAAGTATTTTTTTTAATTGAAGTCGAAAAAAGTCTGGCCAGACCACGCCGACCGACGGAGGGTTAATAATATATAAAAATATAAATTATATATACGAAATGTATATATGTATTCGATTCTGCTCACCAGTGAAAATGGAAAACACTCAAGTACTTCAAAAAGACCATGTAAAATATCTCGGCATATACCTCGATAGAAAATTGGCGAATTCATATAAAAAAGAGGCAACCAAAAAACTTTGGTTTTTTGGTTTTTTATTTGGGACTAAATCTAGACTTAACTCATACAATAAGCTGCTTTTATATAAAATATTATTCAAGCCAATTTGGTGCTATCGAATACAATTATGGTGTAGTGCGCATAATACTAATATATGCATAATACAAAAATTCAAGAATTTTCTGAAAATTGCCTTGGAGCACCAAAATCTGTTCCCAACTGGTTGATTCATCTTGACACGAATACCCCTACCATAAAATTAAAAAAAATCTGATTCAATTGATGCATCATGCACCACATTGATTGCTGATCGAAATTCTGCAACGATATGCATTTTTTTTATTTGCTATTTTTGTTTAACACAAAGATGGTATTTAATAATTATTTAAAAAAACAAATAGAAAACTTACAAACAAAGCAAAAGCTTTATATATATATATTCAATTCTTACCTTAGAAGTTGTATCCGCAAGCATTTCTTCGCGAGTAGCATACAGTTCGATTCACACATAACACATCACTTTATTTTACGCGAAATTACTTTGAATATTTAACTTTTGCACTTATTTTACGCGATTTGAACACACTTTATTTCTTTTTAATTGCACTTAAATTTTATCACTGCTGCAAAAAATACATGGGTTAATTAAATACATGGAATGGTATAATTACAATTTTGTCATTTCCTACTACGCATATTATTGGTAACTAACTATCGAAATTTAAATTTTGATCGGAGACGCACCTACATTCAGGACAAAATGTAAAACTAAAAATTGTTGCGATAATTTTTAGCGATGTTTGCAAAGCAGTATATGAAGATAATTTAGATTTTGTGAATTCGCTAGGGTCGCGTAATTATACCATTAAAAAGCATGCTTAGAATTTTAAAATCACTCACCATATCGCGAACACTCACCATATCGCCAATATTTGTAGAAAATCACTATCACAAAATGTTATTTAGAAGTTTATGACACACAAACCGCACTAGAACTGCACTAAACACCAAACACACGTAGCACTAAAAATCAAAATTTGCAAAATCACGCACTAAAAAATTAGAAATTTACAAAATCACGCACTAAAAATCGACATTTACAAAATCACGCATTAAAAATCGAAATTTACAACTGAACATTTCATAACAGTATATAGTCCTCCGAGCACTGGAAAATTTTATGAAAACCTGTGAAAATAATGTATAATATATTATTAAATGAAGACTCAACTGCTTAAAGAAAAACTCTGGAAGATGCGTAACACATTAATTTTATTAATTCAATCATATTGTTTATTATTATTATACAATATATTATCTCATTAATTACTGTTAAACTACTTATTAATACAAGTATGTAATTTACGTATATTTTCACTATTATGTTGAATTAATACTATTATATTATTTATTACTATTAGGACAATTATGCTTGAAAAGATTACAAATAAAATAGAATTGCTTTATCGAATATCCATGTTAGTTATTATTATATCTATATTATATTTATAATTGTGCAGTTTCAGATAATTCACCTAATTTGATAATTCACAATTGTCAATTAATTTACATTATATTGTAATTATAATTACAATTAATTGTATTATTATATTGTACAATTAATAATAACAATATTCGTATGATTATAAAAAACTATAATTTACTCTTAATTCGTTTTTCGAATTTATGTAATATTAATTATTTTAAAATTGAAATGTAACTTTATTTCTTCTCAAAAATCAATCCTAATTTAGAATAATTAGATCAACTGGCAATTTTCTTTTCATCCCAGTAAAAACTCTTCTTATATATGATTTTCATATTACATAGCACGCACTCACCGCGTTATAGGAGGGTTAACTCTGTATTTACGTATAGGAAAACAGTAGAAGACAAAAAGAAATTAATTGCATCATTTTGAAATTACTCTTATTCTCTTTGATATGCAATATGGAAAGAAGACTAAATGTAAACAAATGAAATGCTGAAGGTCATTTAATTCAGAGAAGTGTGTGCGTATTATGCAACATGGTAATACACCCAGTGCTGAATTTACTGCCCAGGGCGGCAAATTTTCGGGGGCGGCAAAATTTGGATAGTGAAAAATATTCTGTATAATATAATTAACTATTTTTTTTAATAACATTTTTAATTTTAAGAAATATAATTAACAAAACAAAATACGATTGCAAAGCAAAATTTGGCAATTTGGCTAATATAAAGATTCGTAAATGAGTTGAAAGTTTAAGAAAAATATGTTTTTCAGATCTCGAGCCCGATGATGATTTTTGCACTTCCAAGCTTATAGCGCAAAAAAAATAATAACTAGTGACGCATGGCATTATGCCTTAAGGCAAATTACTGAAACTTCCCATACTGAAAATTACTTTCTCTAAAGAGCTTTAAAATTTTTTGAAAAATGAAAAAAAAAAGAATTTAAAAAACCTTTAATTTTAAATTTTGAAGTTTTTTGAAAATTATGAACTTTTATTTATTAAAATTAAATTTTATTTGAATGATTCGATTCCTATTGATAACAGGACGTGCCGAATAGTTATTGGCCAAGGTAGGTCCAATTGTTTCGAAAATACGGACCAAAATGCCAAAACGATAATTCAGTTTTTGAGAAACGGAACGTCCAATATCATTCAAAAAAAATTTACATGTATAGACAAAATGAAGAACTGCTTGTATTTGTGAGAGGCAGGTCTAGTGGTTTTGGTAATCCAATAAAGAAAATTGAAAAAGAAACATTTGGCGGTCAAAAGTGATTATTATACATATGCACATCAAGTTATCAGATATTTTAATAATAAGTATAAATTGTGTTTACATTTCTATGGGTTCTGTAACATCATTTATCCGTCATACTGCAACGCGGCGCTTACTTAATAGGGCAATTTTAATTTTTTTTAAATTTAATTTTAATTTTTAGTACGAGAAGTTCCATACATACTATTTATAGTATGTAATGGTAATAAATGTTTTGCAATCAAATAGTTATTTTAATTTTAGTACAATGATATATAAAACTATTTAAGTAAAAATTCAGGGATGGGGCGGCAGTTTTGTCAGTGCTCCAGGGTGCCAAATTTCTAAAACGGCCCTGAATACACCACCTATAATTTAGAATTTTTTACTTTATTGCAGGAATGGTCACACATTATTGAATGATGAGAAAAATAATAGAAATTTTCCGAAAATCGTATGATCGGTTCTTATAAGTTGAAAATAATTCAGAAACAAAAATAAAAATCATTTAACGTAATTCACTCACAAGGGGTAATGTTTTCAAGGGGGTACAATTCAAAAGTTGCAGCAGCTAGCGGTACTGTACAAAGTATGATTGTTCAAAATATTTTTTTCAAATTTACTATAAAAACTTTAATTATTAGTTTATATAATTGACGACATAAAGCAAGAGATAAAAAAAAATGTATGATATAACGTATGTATGTATACTCGAATCCAAACGCAATCGAACACCTGTCGTAAGTACGTCAAAAATTACTTTTTTCTTTAAAATGTATATACAATTATAATTTTCACAAATTTATAAATTCTGAAACTCGTATATGGCATAAAACGGAATACTCGGAAAACCGTCAAATTGGCGGGATTGGACGATTACCCAAAAAATTAAAATACATTTTCTTCATTTGCAATATTATGCCTTCAAATAGTAAATATAATGGTAACAAGGAGTCTAAAATGCACTAAACTGGATTTAATTATGTAATTTAGTATACAATAGAATAGCTAACAAAAAAGATCATCTCATCTCATCACTTGAAACTCGGATTTTAAGAATTGTTTTGTACCGTCAAAAATATATCAAGTAACTACCTATTTTGCATACTGAACATTCTATTATCAAGTTTTAGACGGTCTGTCACATTATTATAGACATTTTTTTTTCAAGTATAGTGAATTGCATTTTGCATTACAGATGTGTTTGTGATAGTGTTAACCGGCTTAGTACCGTTTTGTTTTCTATTTTACTGTAAATAATTTAATTAACTGTATACTGTAATGAGACTAATCCTGTATCCGAAAAACATAAAATGTATGAAATATAATATATAATGTTTCAAATCAGTAAACGTCAACATCAGGATTTCAAAAAAGTTGCCTAAACGTGCAATAAAATTCGAATCTATAAGAAAAATGCATAAAAGACATCTAAGTAATATTTAAAAAAATATGTTCTAAAAAAAATATGGTTACCGTGTAGATCCCACTATTTTTAACTTCCCGTAGGGCAAGTTATAGTAATCGCAAAAAAATCGAAAATGAAATTTTTTATATATCTTTACGTTTCAAAAGCTTCTGAACATTTTGGCATACCTTATAATTAGAAAAAATAGATGTATGTGTGTGTGTTTACGTATATATGAATATTTACGAAACTCCCGTAAACCGATTGTTGAATAAAAAATTTAATAGTAAAAAAGGTTAAATAAGTCATTCAACGTAAATCACTTATATGGAGAAATATTATGCGTACTGAGTTGCATCAAGAAAGATCTACAAGGTGGAACAGCCTTATCATGATCGATCCAAATAATACAAATTTTCTAAAAAATATCGATTAACATGTATTAGTTTATATAAATGACGTCATAATACATAAGGCATAATAAGAAGACGCAGTAAAAAGTATGATGTAACGCATGTGTCCATAATAAAAGTCGAGTACAATTGTGACATGTGTTTTAAATAAAATTATTAATGTTTTTTTCTTTAAAATATACGCTCCAGAAATTATATATTTAGCTAAATGAAATCGAACTAAAAAAAACCTCGAAGATTAACAAAGCGTCACGAATAAAAACATTCAACGTAAATCACTTACATGAAAAAACGATGCGTACAGTTCAACAGTTGCAGCAAGAAAGAAGTGCAAGCTACCACGATCGCTTCGACAATGCAAAACATAGACATGCATATTTTTATAAAGTGAAGATCATAAACTCAATTTTGCCATGCGATTAATTCACAGCAAGTGCCGCCACTTGCGACAAATAATGGAACCATCTAATTTGACAGTTCGTGCCTCACAATTGTGCAAAATCTTGTCATCTATGATGATGTCTTTGTTGACCTTGATCGATGACATGAATGGTAGCAACAAGCATACACCGAATCGAAGAATTTATACTTGTTTATCTATGCGTAGAATGCATTCACTAAATCGATATTTTGTTGACTATTAAATAATTACCATTTGTTCTAAAAATTATTTTAAATACATGAAATATTATAATTCGTTGCTAATTAAATTGCGTTTGTGTAAAAAAGTAATTTTTACACTTTACTCACTAAGTAATTTGATAAATAAACCAGTGGGGCGCATAGCATCGTGCCTTAACACACTTTCGGCGGATAGGATTTCGGGCTAACTTGTACCCGTAGCGGGGTTTTCACAACGGTGCGAATGCGTATAAGCATGGCATGAAAGCACAGTCTTTTACTTACAATACTTACTGCCCAAATTCAAACGCAGTAGTAAATACTATAATATTAAGTTATTATGAGGTAAAACTATCAATACTGAAAGTAAAACATTTGCAAATAAAGTTGAATATTATTACGCAATGATACATATGTTTAGTGTTTAGACAATGAAATGAAAAATGTAATTAATTCTAAAAATTTAAAACAAAATGCACAGAAACATTTTCTATACGTTTTCTTACGTAATTACTCACAAGTTTAGTCTGTGAAATACAAAAAAATTTAATCTTAAAAAGCAATTAATCAAAATACACAGAAAAGTTTGTTATACGAGGTGTGTTCAAAAAGTACCCGGAATTTTTAAATTTCGCGGGTCTGGAGTGTCTGATAGTCAAAATTTTTTTTTATTGTGTTGGTATACATGCCCCTAAAGTATGATGAAATTTTCAGCTATATTCACTGTTTACTTTGTCTGTGGTAGTCGCTAAGGTTCGACGTGTTTTTCTGAGCTCGGCGATTTTTACAATGGAAGAATTGAAAAGTCAAAGAATTTGTATTAAATTTTGCGTAAAAAATGAAATAAAGTGTAACAAAGTGTGTGAAATGTTACAAAAAGCCTATGGTGAGTCTGCTATGAAAAAAACAAGTGTTTACGAGTGGTATAAGCGTTTCCAAGATGGCCGCGAAGATGTTGAAGATGACGAACGCTCCGGTCGACCCAGCACGTCAACAAACGATGAAAATGTGAAAGAAGTGGAAAAAATGGTTATGAATGATCGCCGAATCACAATTAGAGAAGTTGCTGATGAAGTTGGCATATCAATTGGCTCATGTCATAACATTTTTTCAAATGTTTTGGGCATGAAACGAGTGGCAGCAAAATTCATTCCAAAACTGCTGAATTTTGACCAAAAAAGCAATCGCATGAACATCGCTCAAGAGCTGTTAAATGACGTCAACAACGATCCAAGTTTGCTTGAAAGGGTCATAACTGGTGATGAAACATGGGTGTACGGTTATGATGTCGAAACCAAAGCCCAATCGTCCCAATGGAAGAGCCCAGGTGAGCCAAGACCGAAAAAAGCACGTCAAGTTCGATCGAATGTCAAGGTTTTGCTTACTGTTTTCTTTGATTATAACGGCATAGTGCATCAAGAGTTCTTACCACAAGGTCGTACGGTTAATAAGGAGTATTACCTTGAAGTGATGCGACGTTTGCGCGAAGCAATCCGAAAAAAACGCTCCGATTTATGGAAAAACAATTCATGGCTGTTGCACCACGATAACGCACCTGCTCACTCGTCGTTGCTTGTTCGTAATTTTTTTGCCAAAAACAATACCGTAGTCATGCCCCAACCTCCATATTCACCCGATATGGCTCCGTGTGACTTTTTCCTATTCCCAAAGTTGAAGAGACCCATGAAAGGACGGCGGTTTTCCTCGATTGAAGAAATAAAGGCCGAATCGCTGAGAGTGCTCAAGGACATATCAAAAAGTGAATATCAAGGGTGCTTCGAAAATTGGAAAAAACGCTGGCATAAGTGTATTATATCTGGGGGGGACTACTTTGAAGGGGACCACATTAATGTAGACGAATAAACTAGCTGTAAGTGGAATTCTGTCTTAAGGCAATTAGGGCATCGTGCCTTAAGGCAAATTGCTGGAACTTCCCGTACCAAAAATTATTATTTTTTTTTTAAAACGATTAACATTTTTGAAAAAAAATTACTTTGAAAAATAAGATTTTTGAGAAACTATAAATTGGACAAAAAATTAGTTTTATTTTGAAAAAAATAATTTTTTTTTAAAAATTTTTTTTTTAAAAAATTTGTTTTTTTGAAAAAAATTTTTTTTTCTTTATTTTGACATATTGTGGAAGATCTGAACTTTTTTTTCAAAGCAATCGTACTGCTTTAACTACATAGGGACAAAATATAAAGCGCGTAAGCGCCGCGTCGCTGTCTTACGCATAAGCATTGGTACGGAACCGATAGGAATGTTAACAAAATGTATACTTATTGTTAAAATCTCTATAAAATGTCTGATAATTTGATGTGCATATGTCTAATGATCATTTTTGACCGCCAAATGGCTCATTTTTTTACTTTTTCCTCTATATCTCCGAAACCGCTGGACCTACCTTCATGAAAGTTGTATCGATTCTTCATCTTGTCAATACAAATAAAATGTTTTTTGAATTATTAAAATCGGACGCTCCGTTCTCTTAAAAACTGAGTTACCGTTTTCGGAACTTTTTGCCCCGTATCTTCGGAACGGCTTGACCTGCCTTTGCCAAAAACTAATCAGCACGTCTCCTTATCAATACGGATCGAATGTTTTTTGAATTATTCAAATCGGTTGATCCGTGTTCCCGAAATCGTCGACGAAAATTTGTATCCGCACATACATACACACACATACATACATACATACATACACACACACATACACACACACACACACACACACACACATACATCCATTTTTTCTAAGGTATGCCAAAATGTTCAGAAACCTCTGAAACGTAAAGATATATAAAAATTTTCATTTTCGATTTTTTTGCGATTACTATAACTTGCCCTACGGGAAGTTAATAAATATTTTTTTGAAAAAACGAAAATTCCGGGTACTTTTTGAACAGACCTCGTATATAGGTTTTTTACACGAGTATACACTACACATTTTTACGCAATAAGTTTAGAATTGAAGAAATCATTTGGACTATTTTTTTGAAGAATTGTAACAAAACTTCTTGGCGTCTTCTAAATATTGTCTCTCCTCTTTTAAGTTTCAAATTTTTAAGTTCTTCAGGAAGGCCCCTGTTTGTTCTTATAGTCTCACAAATCCTAGTTTTATTTTGTAGTAATAATAAACTTTTATTTAAACTATTATAAAAATTGTCCATGTATACATGATGCCACAAATTTAAATAAGGTTCTAATATATCTAATATAGTTGTCTGTTGTAAACTATTGCCATTTCCATAGTAAATTTTTAAATTGCATATGTAGTCTGACTTTGCTTCGCAAGCCATTCTAATCAGAATACCATATTTTACTATTTTTGCTTAAATGCTTGTTTTAAATATGATAAATATTTTTAATTAGATTAGATTTTAAATATAAATTTGAAGATTTATTTAGGTAATAGGAAGTAACAGGTTATTAAATACATTTAATTCCGTTGAATTCTTTTAAATAAAAGAAATTGGATAATAAAATACGAGAAATATGATATCATACATTTTCAAATTACCTGTAATCCAAGCACAATTGAAAAACATTCGTCATTCAACAGTAAATTAATCAATTAGTTTTATTACTCGCCGGATACTGTATTTGATAAAATTACCTGTTGCCAGGTACGTAAATTAGACAAAGTAATTCCATTCTCCAATCATGTATAAAGTACCTATATCACTTATAATCATACTATATACAATCTAGAGTTTTACGTTGAAAATTCGATTATTTTTAATATTGTACGAAATTAATTTTTATGGTGTATAAATTAGTGACAAACCTAATAGTTAATTACATAAATAATAATATGATTTTATAAGCTACGTTCGATTGCTTGTAAAAATGTAATAGCTTATTTTTAACATTGTTTTTGAATTTTAAATTATATGAATTATCGAAACGCAATAAATACAAAGATAGCAAAATATTTATGTAACATATACGTATTTACGTATCGAAAATAATTTTGAAGAATAAATTATAATTTTATTATAGTTTTATAATAAATATAAAACTAGCGTTGCAACCGCTCATAGTAAGAAATTTCGTTCGCTCTTCGCATCTAGCGTACCGACCGAGTACCCGAAAATACCCGCACCCGCAGTTGAATGACAATCCTAAAATCGAGTACCAGTACCCGCACCGCCGAAAGTGTGTTAAGGCAAATTGCTGGTACTTCCCGTGCCAAAATATATTTTTTTAAAAAAGGTTGACATTTTTGAAAAAAAAATTACTTTGACAAAACTGGATTTTTGAGAAACTATACATTTTGAAAAAAAAAATTTTTGGAAAAAGAAACTTTTTGAAAAAAATGTTTTCTTTATTTTGAAATATTTTGGATGTTCTGAACTTTTTTTCAAAGCGATCGTACTGCTTTAACTGCATAGAGACGAAATATCGAAGCGCGTCGCCGTCTAACGGATAAACACTGGTACGGAACCCATAAAAATGTAACCTTATTTGTATGAATGTAAATTTATACTTATTGTTAAAATCTCTATAAAATATCTGATAATTTGATGTGCATATGTCTACTGATCAGTTTTCGACCGCCAAATGGCATCTTTTTTACTTTTTTTTACTAGATCTCCGAAACCGTTAGACTTGCCTTCATGAAAATTTGATCAGTTCTTCATCTTGTTAATACAATTAAAATGTTTTTTTGAATTATTCAAATCGGACGCTCCGTTCTCTTAAACACTAAGTTACCGTTTTTGGTACTTTTTGCCCCATATCTTCGGAACGGCTAGACCTGCCTTCTCCTTATCAATACAAATTGAATGTTTTAATGAATTATTCGAATGGCTTCATCCGTGTTCCCGAAATCGTCGACGAAAATTTGTACCCGAACACACACACATACACGCACACACACACACATACATCAATTTTTACTAAGGTATGCCAAAATGTTCAGAAGGGTTTGAAACGTAAAGATATAAAAAAATTTCATTTTCGATTTTTTGCGATTACTATAACTTGCCCTACGGGAATTTTTTTTTAGTAATAATAAACTATGTAAGTGCAAGTAAAAGTAAAAAATTAAGTGTACAGTAAAGTGAAGTAAGAAAATGTAAAACTAGGTGAAAGTGACATTTTGCCTAAAGAAAAGTTGCGAAAACTTCTCGATATGTGTAAATAGTCTACTAAATCAATATGTTGAGATTTACCAACTTTTAAAATGTGATGATAAAATTTAGAAATTTTGATACTAAGCATTATTCCAATATTTGATGATTTTTTATAATTAAACCATTTTTCATAGGCCTTGCGAATATGGCAGTTGTTCCTCAAGGCCAAGAAGTCAAACAAAGTATTATTAAAATTTTCAATTTTCTTTCAACAACTAATTATGAAGAAACGGTTTGGCTGATCTTAACTAGAAATCAATCAGTATGATTCTTAACTGATATTTTGACTTCTCAAAATAGTTTCAGGATTTTTGATGAAAACGTTGATGAAGATTGTTGACACTTATGTGCTAGCTATAAAGTAACTGCTCGGCCGATCTTCAAATATGTCTTTTAAATATTTAAAATTGATGCAGCCGTTTTTCGAGAAAGCGACGACGATAAATATAAATTTCTCATTTGCACATACATTACATTACAGTTTTCCCTATTGCATATTTTTTGCACTATTCTGAATGACTTAAAATGTCAAATTTTAACACACACATTTTGACGTCAAACTATTCAGATTGACTTGATATGTCAAGAAAATCAAATAATTTAGAATTTCTATCTAAATCATTCTATCTTACCAAGAAATTCGATTTGCTAATTTTATGTTTCCAAAGCTTCAAGTCATATTGAATCGTTGGACACCAAAATTGGAAAATGTATTTGTGTGTATATGTGAACCATAATTTAACCTTTTCTCAAACCGATATCACAAGTGAGTGAAATACTTTTTGATGAAGTTTTTGCTAATTATCCTGAAGTGTTTTTGAAAATTTTGAATCTGTTTCAAACATATCCATTAGTAATCATGCTTACTAGCTTTTGGTAAAGATCTGCAGAATGCTACTTACACTTAGTTTGTTTTTTCGTTCTTCACTTAGATTTTATACATTAAGTAATAATGGGCCTGGCCGTGGATGAGTGGTTAGAGGTATTGGCGGTTCCAGGTTCGATATACCCCTTGAGGCAGCCTGATGTCCAGTAGAATTGACATAGATTTTCACTTGAAAATATAGATGACAATATCTTTCCAAACTAGCCCTTACTCGGCATTGCTGCATCTATAAAAAAAATTCGCTATTACAGATATTGTAATAAAATAGTTCATCTCACAGGCATAATATACTTGAAAAAAGTAAAAAAATAATAAAATAACAAGTGATCATTTATGAATAGATCTGTAAAATTTTGGAATTTAAGGGTACTAAATCTTGAATATCGGTATATCGTCTTCGATTGAATAAAAAAAAAATTTTGCCAAAAAAATGGGTTTTTCTTGGTTATTCTACGGATCTATTGAGTGATGGGTTAAGAGTACAAAATCTTGAATAAGAAATTCGAGCAAGTTGTGATCATATATATATATATATATATATATATATATATATATATATATATATCGTATATGTATATGTATAATTTGATATTTGCACAAAATCGAATCTGTTTTCATTCGTCCTTGCGTCAAGAAGCGACTGTACAAAAATACTTTATTCATATTAAACGCGCGTTAGTTCCAGGAGTTGTAACAATGACAGCTGGTTTGTTCGGGAGCGCGCTGTGAAATATATGGAAAAGACAGAGGGCTGGTAATTTTCTTGTCAGAGTAAAAAAATAAATAGGTCAACAATAATAATAATAATATGTAAATAGAATCACAATCGTCAATGAAGCGACAAGTGTGACACAACGCACTTTATTATTTATTGGCTTATGTTTTCTTCACAATTTAAAAAATAGCATGAATAGTGAAGAAGAATTAACATTAAATTATTAATACTAATTATTATCAATGTACCATATTTTGTTATTTTTACAATCTTATTTAAAACCATAATTTTTTTAAGGTTGAGCAATCACTGCAATCAGAACCAAAGAGATTTCTATAAGCTGTTATGATGGTTTTATAGAATGCAACTCAATAGTTGACCAATCTCTACGAGTATTTCATATTGTTTATTATTCGATTTTTATTATTACTTATGATTTGAAATTTGATTCAGAAATGGCGGGCACAAGCTGATTTCATTCGGCAACATACTACTTTTATCTATGTTTTCAAATGAAAACCGATGTTGTTACTACTTGACAACAGGCTGTCCAAAGTGGATAACAAGGTTTCAGCTTTGAAACTATCTAGATAGAACGATATTTAGAAGACAATAGGTTTATTTTATAAATCAAAGATAAAATTGATAATATTTATTAGTTATGAAGCAGAGTAGCACTTACAAAGTTTTTAAAATAATTGGGCTGGCTGAGCATTGTACAAAACATCAAATTCTGTCTATGTTTTATAAAATATGCATAAATGTGCTAAAAAATTATGTAGTTTATTTTGCATTTAAAACTTCAAGACCTATAGTTAAGACATAGCGTGTTAATTATTGTAGAATGTAAATATTTTTTAGTTTCTAGTTCTCACGATATTTCTGATCGTGCTCATTTTGGTATAAAACATTATTTTGCTGAAGAATTGCATATAATTAGTAACTGATACAACTTTTTGACAGTTTTTATTATATCAAAATTATCTTAACAATTCATTTTTAACCTTCCTATTTTAAGTTTATATCATCACAATTATATTTATTACATACGTTTCTTTTTGATATTGCCCTTATATTTTATAATTCATATCAGAAATTTGAGAATTTTAGAGGATATTTAAAGGTTTGTTTCCGTAAAAAGAATCTCAAGACATTACTAATCAACTTTTATGGACCGATTTGGCCGCATAACAGATCAATGTTATGGCAAGGCTATGTTATGAAGAATTTTTTATACAAAATCGTTTTAAATATTGACAAAAGCCATGTAGTTGTTGTGCAGTCAGGTGTTTTTCTCAGGTTGTAAGATAGAAAACCTAACCTAGAAACAGCACAAATGTCTAAAAAAAGATCTTAGATAACATGGTCTTTCTGACCCAGCTTCATAAGATACGAGTTACGTTGCAGTTTATGTGTAAAACACCCGAATGCACAGCAAATACATGATATTTTGACAGTATTCAATATGACTCAGTACCATAATGTATGCAAGGCAGAACCGGCGGCAGATGATGGCGTCATATTATGTTTCGCAGTTCAAGCAACCTGTCATATTATTATACTTGCTTTTTTTCAAATTATTGTCAATTGTATATTATAATTATATTGCTAGACCTTATGTCATTTATTTTGTATTAGTGTTAATCGATGTAAAAAGTCTAATAATTCAGTCAAATAATTGTTCATCTGAATATATTATCTTACGCTCAGATAATTATCAGATAATGCAGATTTCACAATTACTACAATAATAAAAATAATTTTAGGTATTCGATTACCAGCTCTTCTTCTATTACACTTGTGTGGTTAGGCTGGTTGGTTCGTAGTACGGAACCCATGCCGGTACCGGAACGCGTTCCGGAGAAAAGCGCGGTAACGACGACCGACTTCCGAAACCTCGCGAGAGATATTTATAACCGGCACATATGCAGGCTTTGCTTACAGTCAGGCAGGTTTGCCTTTGATAATGGAACTGATCTTTCGGTTTAATCGATTTTTACTAGATTTTATACATTATACGGAAGCCAAAAGGTGTAAAAAATGGATACTTAATATCAGGCGATTTAAAATACTTGCATAGATTGTTTTTAATGAATATTTATAGTCATTTTTGAACTATTAACTATGTTTCTATAGCGATTAATTTATTATATCAATCATAATTAATTAAATAGTATTAGTAAGAGGGTTATTAATCAATCAGTAGTTTTTAAGACGTTTCCAGATTCATGAAAATAACATCATTATAATAAATTACCTGAAAGAATTCACAGAATATGAACTGTTAATTAATTAAATATTTCAAAAAGATTAGAAAAATGGATACAATATCAAGAAATTTAAAATACTTACATACATTATTTTTAAAAAATATTTAGTCATTTTTAAAGCATTATTTTAGATTTTATTACAATTAATTTATTATGTCTATTATAAATGATAATTGATTGTTTCGTGTGGAATGCATGTGCAAAAAAAATATAGTATGGAATAATATTGTTTAGTCAACAAGCAGCTTTATACATGTTTGCAAGATTATTAAAATTACAATATTGTTATCTAAAATATAATTTACAGTGAGGAATTAAATATTTCACAAAGAGTTGAAACCATTAACTGGTTATTTTGGATTTTTATGTTGGTATCAGAAAGAATGATATGCGAATAAATTAAAATAAATTATTTTCATAGACAATTTTAAAATCCTGAAAAATTTTTACATATTTTTGTAAAATTATTTCATAATTTTTATTTATTAAAATTTCATAAGCATATATAATGATCATGATATAGCAAGTTTATAGACCAAAATTTGTTCAAACTATTACAACAAAGCAAGTCGTAGGTGGTTTGGCCTGCAGGATGCCAAGTGGTATGATATGAAATTTACACTCGATGTTATAAATTTCAAATATTATCTCAGGTGAATAATCTTTCGTGAGCATTACTGCAATACATGTAACCCAATACTATTCGATACACATATATAATTTATATAATCCATAGTAACATGAAACAAGAGTGTTTGACCGCTAGGTTGCCCTCTCATAAAACATAGAAAGCTAACAGATTAGGAAGTAATTTAGCAAGCACAGTTCACAGAAATCGTCGTTCTAATCAATGTTAAAAACGCGCTGAGAAGAAATATCTAAGCGCTCAAGCGCCGCGTCGTAATCGAATAAACAACGGTACGGAACCCATAGAAATGTAAACAAAATTTGTACTCATTATTAAAGTCTCTATAAAATATCTGAAGATGTGATGTGCATATATCGAATGATCCCAATTAGGATTGGGCTTTACAAAATTTTAATCCTTTATTTAGTCAATTCAAGTAAAATGTTTTTCGAATCATTAAAAATGGACGCCCCGTTTTATCAATAACTGAATTCCCATTTTTTGACTCGCACCTTCGAAATTGCTGGGCCTGCCTTTGCCAAAAACTAATGAGCACGTCTTCCCATCAATACTATAAGCAAAAGTTAACGTAAGTGTAATTAGTTTCAATTAAATAGTTATGAACCAAATTACAAAACAAATATTTTTTAAGAATTGTGTTACGTATTAAAAGTTAGTAAATATTTGAGTTAAAATTATTATACGCATGCATATAATCCCATTTTACATAATATAAAAACACAATATAGAATATTGTATTGTACATCAGCCACTCATAGCAACAATTTTAATCCAGTGCTACTAGATTTTTCTATTTTTACAAAGACCAGAGTAAGAAAAAAATCTTCGTTGCTAAAGGCCATGTTTGTGACGCACGATTTATAAAACTACATTTGACTTTTGTTCCGACCTCGCACTGAATAATAAATAAGATTAATGACAATTGCAGGGAATGAATGAACGAATAAAATACGAAAAAGTAACAACGTAAAACATTTATACAACTAAACCATAACAGATATATAAGAATATAAAAATAAACAAGTTCCACAATAAGAAATTCTCTGAGCTTTATCAAAAGTAGTATTATGATTCAAAGAATCATTGTATCAGCATGTCAAATCGTGTACTGATACAAATTATATTTGTAATGCAAAAAAATGGAAAAGACTTGAGAGAAAGTCCGATGGAACTAGTAAAGTCAGATATTTGGGTTATGAATATTCTTTATCTGGTTACTTGGCAAGGATTATAAAATTTGGATGATGTAATTATGTACATTTCCGAAAAATATTTTCTATATAGAAATATGATTGAGATAAAAATAAACTAGTGGAGCGCATGGCATCGTGCTTTAAGGCAAATTGCTGAAACTTTCTGTATCATAAATTAATTGTTTTGAAAAGATTAACATTTTTCAAAAAAATTACTCTGAAAAAATTAGATTTTTGAGAAACTACAAATTTTTGACAAAATATACTTTTTTTTGAAAAAAAAGACTTTGAAGAAAAATTTATTTTGAAATATTTTGGAAATTCTGAACATTTTTTCAAAGCAATCGTACTGCTTTAACTACATAGAGACGAAATATCGAAGTGCGTAAGCGCCGCGCC